CAAATCCCCAGCTCACAAGTTATTTTCTTTTATATGAGAAACTTCGGAAAAGAGTGAACCTAAACATTTTTAACTACAGAAAGCTGCAGGAAGATATTTTTCTTCAAATTTATCTTGGTACCTTGGGCAATTTGTAGCTAGCAATTTTCCATCAAATTTCCTTTATACCTTGGACTGTTGTTGACCCTCAGGTAAAGGCTAGAGTTGGTGAAATTCAAATTTCTGCAAGACATTTTATCGATTATAGGACACAGTAGCCAACCCAAGAAAACTCTCTCTTGTGAGCATCACCTATAACTGTTCTTTGTTGTTCTATCAACAACTGATTGGCCCCATTAATGCTTGAACACATGTAAGAACCCAGGAGGAGAAGCACATGTAATAAAGAAGGTGAATCCATTTCCACCAAAGTATGCTAACAATGACCCTGGTCTCTATGTACTTTTTTGCTTAAATAATCCCATAAATAATCACATGGACACACAGGCACCATAGGTTTTACAAAACTGACTCACATGCTTTTCATCACAAGGGGCTCAATGAAAAATATGGAAATTTGTGATGTTTGAAAATACACTGTACGCTTAGTGAGAGTGAAGTCAGAAATGGTCAGGGTGTTCTTCAGAGCACTTATTAAAAACTAATATAGCAAAATCTCACATTCTAACTAACTTTAAGGAAAACTCACACAGATCTTTTACATCCCGGGGTAGCCCCACAAAAACTGCGAAGGAAGAAGTCAGAAGCCTGAGGAATTAATCCCTTCCTCTTCCCAGGAAGGACTAGACTTTTATCCCTTTCTCCTTTACTCCCGAATCTAGTTTCTCTTTGACATTTATCAACCATTACAGCTCTTGCTTTAGGGACAACTGTTTTGGTACTGAAAATGAGAATGTCTGTTTTTTTCCCCTTCTTAAATATTTCATTTGGAAATTCACTTTGATACTCTTGTACCTCTTCATATCATCTGCAACTTTCAAACATGGAAAGAGGTAGCCTTGCCATGTACATTCCATGTAACTAAGTCATACTCAGCTGGCTTTTACCTTCTTTGAAAGACAAATGGTATAAACATCTTCACTCTTCTATCTTTGCTGTAATGAAGATATCACCTTTCATGTTTTCCTGTCTAAATACAATAAATAAAATATGAATTGGGGCAACAAACTCACTCATACCGAAAAGCAAGTTGTAGGGCTTTCCTCATTCTTCTGTTACAGTCAAGTAAAAGGACTCCAAGCTGGGTGATCTAGAGAGAAACATTTAACATTTCTGTGCTTTGGTTTCCTAATCTACAACAGGATAATAGTTCCTACCCTTAGGATTAACTAGGATTAATTCAGGATTAACTCAGATTGTATGGTTCTCCTAAAACATAGATGGTAATTATTTATAATTTTTTCCAGAATTTTCTGGTCCTCATTTTTAAAAAAGATTTTGTATTTCTTATTTCATTTGTGCCTCATGGCATAAAGCAAGATTTATAAAATTGTTTTGCTACATTGGTTTTCAGTTTTGAATTAGAAGCAGCTACTGAGTTGCAGTATCCTTCGATGTTAACACTGAAAGATGTTATGCAGACATACACGTGTATACTCGTGTGACTATGTATACAAATATATACATTTTTTGATTGGCATATATGGAAAACAGCAGAATGTGTGGTAAAGAAAGTTGGCAGAGATATTTATATTAAAGCAGATTGTTTACATGATTATATATCTTGTTCTGCTTTTCAGAAGACATGGTTATTCATATATGCAAGCATGACTAAGAAAAGTACCTTGTGCCTCTGACACCTATGAACTATCCTTTCTGCTGCCAAAGAGTTTCACCCATTCCTTTTCTTTATGGTCTTCCTTCCTACTTCCTGGAAAGAAAGCTTGAGCTGAATCCATGAAAGGCAGGAGCTGGAACTCAAAAAAGCTTGGCCTCTGAAGTCCTTTGATTTGCCTTCAAATCCAAAATGTGCTGTGTCTTACTTATGAAACTACAGCTAAGTTGCCTTCTTTGAGCTCAAGTTACCCTTCAGGAAAATTAAAGTAATGAGAATATTTGTTGTAACAAGGATTAAATGAGACAGTGTGTTAAAACATAGTACCTAGCACCTAATAAGCAGTTAAAAGGTTGTTGATGGTTCTTCTACACAAATAAGAAAGACCCAAGTATGGCAAAAGTTTAAACCAAACAAAACTTTATTTCCCCTCAGAATCTATATGACAGTTCTATGGTATCAGAAACTCAGGCTCCTTTTGTCTTGCTACTTTCTTATAACCAACCAGTAGCTTCCATCCCTTTGCTTAAGATGGGCTCTGTCAGCAGGTATGATGGTGCCTGCCGGTAATCCCCACACTCTGGGAGGCTGAGGCGCAACTTAGTGAGACCTTCTTTACACTTGATCTTAGCCAAAAAACTGAGAAGCGATAGTGACACCTTCTTTTAAGTAAGTAAATAAATAAGCGATCTTAGTACAAAGTTCTTGGGTTCAAACCCCAGTAACACACACACACACACACACACACACACACACACACACACACACACACGATGGTTTCTGCCATTTTATCCATATCTCAGCAATGGAAAAGTGGAAAGAATGAGGGTGATTATTTATTTGTTTTCTACTACTATGTAATAAATCAAAAATTGTTGTGGAATAAAACATCAATCAATCACCTCTCATGGTTTCTGTGGGGAAAGAATTTGGAAAAGTTGCAACCAAGATGGCCCATCTCTGCTGTACAATGTTAGGGGCCTCTGCAAAGAGGTGAAGGTTAAGCAGAAATCAGCCAAGAACACAAGAACCTCACTAAGCCCTCCGTAATTCACATGTCTGAAGGTTAATGCCATGGTTGCCAACTTGGTCCTCAGCAGAAATTGGAAGCCAGGACATCTGTATAGTCCTCCCCTTGTGGTTTCTGGGCTTCCCAACGGTGTGATGACTAAGTTCTAGGAGAAAGCCACCCGAAGAAACCAGGAGAAAGCTGCATCACCTTTCAATCATGTGGCCTTCGAGGTCAGATAGTATTACTTCTGCTCTTACGAACCTGCCCAGATTTAAGAGAAGGGTCATAACCCCCCCCCACTTCTCAGTGGATAGAATGTCAAAGTCACAGCATCAAAAAGTCATATGGGTGGAAGCTGATCAGGGTCTTTTCGGGAAAATAAAACTGAGGAAATTGGCTTTTGACTGATACAGTACCTTCATGTGAATAGTAATGTGTTCATTCTACTTTCAACAAGTATTTTCGAGTGCTACGGCATGCTAGACACTATGCTAGGTTCTAAGGATTTAATGGGAAAAAGTTTTGGATTACCCAAGCCCTCTTGATTAGCACAACTGGAACAAAACCAAGTCCCTGCCTTTGTTGAAATAGTATTGTAGTGAAAAAGAAAGACAATAAAACAAATATATACTATTTGTAGTGATGAATCCCATAAAGAAATAAAAGTAAAATAAGAGTGAAGAGATGCTAGTGTAGGTCAACAGTGTGGTGAGGCTAGTTTTGTGAGGGGTGACATGAGAACAGAGAGCTCAGAAGTTAGATGAATTAGCCACACAAAAGCTATGAGGAGAGCCTCCTAGGCAAAAAGGAATTATGCAAATGAGGTGGCATATGCTTGGCTTGTTCATAGTACAGCAATAAACACCTGTCACTGAAATACGCCGATTCTATAAACAGGAGTCAGAGTAATAGACCTACTCATAGGAATTAGAGGCCTATATTTTAAGAGCACATTTTTAGTTACTATGTGAAGAACGGATTGTGTAAGACAGTAAGAGTGGGTCTAGGAATATTGTTCAGCGGCAGAATGCTTGTTTAGCAGGCATGACGTGCTGGGCTTGATCTCGGGCACTGAAAAAAAAAGTGAGTAAGAATGAAAAGTACAGGCTATTTGGTGCTGGAGGAGGTGACAATAGCCTGAATAGGAGAGTTACGTCAGGTATATGGGGAGGAGCAGCCAGATTTGGCCTCTGTTTGGAAAGTAGTGTGAACAGGACCCACTGCTGGGCTGGGTGTGAGTGGTGAGAGGAAGACAGACCCAGAGGAAGACTATGAGACTCCAGGCTCTAGGTTTGCACTGGAACTTTCCTCAGCATCTCAAAGCTACAGGCAGTGCAGTGCAGAGTGGCTCATTTCCTCCCCACAGAAACTCAAGTCCAAAGCATAAATTAGGGGACACCCTAGCTGTGACCTTGAGATCCTCCCATCCCCACAGACCAAGGGCAAAACTAGTGCCACACACTGAAGTTAAGCTAGTGGGGGATATTAAGCTTCTCGGGTGAAGAGAGAAGGAAGCAGGGGGTATCCTAGGAGTATTGAAGGCTATGTCTGCAGTAACAGTGACACAAGGAGACAGGTGCTCCCAGAGCAAAACACAATGGAGACCTGAAGAAATCAGGCCTGGTAATTCCCTTAGAATCGCAGCATTTGTTTTATTTATGCCAGGTACCCAGTGGGCATTCTCTAAACACCAGTGACCACAGAAATGATGTTGCTGACTGGGTAGTATTGCCACTCATTTGACCGATTATATATGATTGTTCAGCTAATTTGCCACTCTAGTAATCGTCTTCAGTTTTACTGCAAACACAATTAGAGCATACCAACATAAATGTTTTACCATCACAAAAATAGACCTCACCTCCCACTGGATGCCTTTATACACTAAATTTGTGGCTAACAAACCCTCTAACAAAGTCCCAGGCAGGGTTCTCCTGCCAGTAGCTGAAGACAGTTATGGGAAAAGTCAATAGACTGGAGTCAGCCCAACCAATGTAAGAGAGAGAGCTACATTTTCATTTTCAGCAACCTTTGCCATCTACTTTTTCCTCACCATTTTATTATAAACCTCCATATATTTATGTATTTAAAATATATATATATATATATGTGTGTGTGTGTGTGTGTGTGTGTGTGTATTTTTCATTACAAAAACCACCTCTCAATTCAAAAGGCAGCTTTCTTATTATTTTTGCTCTCTCTTTTCCTTCCCTTTAGTATTTCATATTTAAGTCAAACTGAGGGGGGAGAAAAAGGTTTGAAAATACATTATTTTCCAAACCCATACAACTGAACCTTTACCTTTGGAAATGTCTACTTTTCCTTTTCCAAAATTTTCCCTATTGCTTATTTCTTCAGTGTGGCTACAAAATGTTTTTCTTGGTTAAAAAAAATGATTTTATACTTATACTCTGCACATACTATACTACCTGTTAGATTTCCCTTGCCTCAGGATGGTTGCTACATAAAACAAGAACCTCCTTCCCATAATGCTCTGCATCTTAAGATGGCTGCCACATGGAATAGCAGCCTCCATTTTAAAAATAACTTCTCCTACCAAGGGACAGCCTTCTTCCTCCCAACATGCCTCTTTTTCTGCCAAAAGAGTAACCTGATACTTGCTACCGCTGAGCAACCAGTGATGTCACAAGCCCCTCCTAGTGATGCCACAGGCTCCTCCAATCCCTTAATGTTACTTCACTCAACTCCACCTCAGCTCCTGTTAACCCCACCCCTCTCCTATAAAAAGAAGCTCCCCGTTCTGCTATACTGTTTTTCCCTTGTTAGGAGACAGCCCTGCAGATCCTCCTCATAATAAAGGCTTGTTGTAGTCCTGGTGTGGTCCTGGTTTTTCAGTTCTTTTACCTAACACTACCTTTCTCTACCAATCCCAGCTGATAGAAAACAAGGATGGCAGGTGCCAATCTAAAGTGAGTGGAAGAACCAGCTGGCTTCCCTTTGAATTTTACTACACCCACCCACCTCCATCCCAAGAGGAAAACTCACCCATTGCTGGGGAAAACAATCTCCCGATAACAATTCTTGTAGCAAGAAACAAACTGAATCTTCCAAATAATAATATCCAGGGGAGAATGGGAAAATATTTTGGATAACTCAAGCATCCTAGATTAGCTCAATTAATCTCTGATTTGTGTTCCTTTGAAACATCTATATTGTTGATTTCCTTCCCTACTTTAATGATCTCTCAGGCACAGCTCAGTAAAATCATCCTGCATGTGACAGCTAACCCCAGGTCTTTCTCCTGGATATGGGAGTTTCAGGCTCTTTTTTAGGGCCTCTCTAGTCTCACTGTTTCTGCTTTTATTTTTAGGTCATTAATGAAGGAATACTTTGTCTCATTAAAACTGGTTTATCAAATATCTGTGAGTAAAGAAAAAGCCTGCTGATTCCCCAACCTTAGAGACTGAATTCAGTATTTTAACACATTGGAACTCTAGACCTCTCACTGTTTGTACTCCCCTGCTACATAAGAGGTATCTGCTCTGTGACACTACCTTTTAAACCTTACATCTCACTTCACTTATCGATGATATGTCGAATACCAGTAAAATGAAAGAACACATAGCATCAAATGACAATTTCTATAGACTGCACAAGTGTTTCTCTTTTTAAATATTCCTCTTTTGAGGGAATGGAATTAATATGAAAAAGTTAAAAATGGAAAGAAAGTCTTTGTAAATAGGGAGGGGTGGAGGGACTGGAGGGAGGGCAGGGGAACGGGGATAAAAGAACCAACATAGATTACGTAAAGGTACAACTTTCCAATGATTAATGTCATTGTATTGTATATCTAAAATATACCAATAAAATTAATTTTTAAAAAGCACCTCTGAGGCCTTCCAGTCTCCTCTAGTTCAAAGTCATCAGCGCATCATGGTGTCATGCCTTGGACTGACACGTGCTAAGCCTCAGCACTAGTGGAACTATATTGCCATTTGCTTCTCTTCTTTCTAAGTTGTTGCTCATAGAAACTTGATAGCCTTCTTGACCCTTCTCTAGGTTTCTGTTCTTGGTTGGTAATCGTACATAAACTAGAGTTCCAAACCATCTCTTTGAGAACTACTCATTTTCTATGTGTCTCCCATGCATGCATAAAATACACGTTAATAAATTGTTTCTGCTTTTCTCTCGTAAATCTGCCTTTTGTAAACAGGAGTTTGTTTCAAATATGAAACTACACAAGGGGAGGCAGCTGCTATGTTGTAAAAAGCACTCAAGCAGCCCTTTGGAGGGATTCACAAGAGGAAGAGCTGAGACCGCCTTGCAACAGCCATGTAAAGGAACCATCTTGGAGGTGAATCTTCCAGCTCTAACAAAAGCTTACATGATTACAGCCTTGGCCAATGTCTTGATCACAACATCATGAGGACTCTGAGCTACAGCAACCCAATTAAGCTGCTCCTTAATCTCTTACCCACAGAAACTGAGAAAATAAATGTTTGGTATTCGAAATTTGTAAGCATTGGGATATTTTGCTTTGCAGCTATAGGTAGCTAATACATGAATTGTTCTACACATGTACTACTCTCTTTGCATTTTGATCTGACTTTGGGGTACCTCACACTTACACTTCTAAGTCCCTCTCATCAGGGCAGTGCACTATTACACTGAATAGCTTTCAAACCTTTAATGAGCTCAAAACTATATGGCAATCTGTGTGTAGTTTGAGATTGGTTTGTTTTGTTTCCTTTGTTTGGGTGCTGGGGACTAAACACAGGACCTTGCTAAGCACATGCTCTACCACCCATCCTATATCCTCAGTGGATGCCTAAGCTTTTTTTTTTTTTTTTTGGCACTGGGGATGGAACTCAGGACCTTGCCCTTGCAAGCCAAGTGAGCTAAATCCCCAGCCACATCCGTGCATTTTTTATGTCAAAAATAGTTTCTCAAAGTGCCATCTCTCTGATGGTAAAGTAATAATAAGATTATTTACTACCTTGGGGGGTCATTATTGCATTGTATTCTAATATTAGATAATTTATAATTACAGGCTATAAGTTATATATTATATAATTATATTTGTGATGTTATATTATAAAACTATAGTATTATATAGAGTAGTAAAGTATCTCATTAATAAAGAGAAAAGTTTAGGCTCAAAATGGCATCTTGAAAGACTAAATTATAGACTATTTCTGTGTGGCCACAAAATATTTCATTTTGTAAAAAAATTTCTGGTGGAAAAAATAAGCTAATAAACATGTGTGAACTTTCATTTAAAGTGTATTTCATCAGACAGGGTATCACACAGCCTTTCCATAACATTAATCAAGAGCCTAAATTATATTATTGTCCTCATCTATTTAGGTTGTTTTTGCATCCTTATTAAAACATTAGAACATATCAAACCAATATGGAGACTGTTAATCTCAGCTATGCTCTGAATTTTCCTCCTGTGGTGAGATTCTTTTACATTATAATGAGTTTGCTGGTACCATTGCTTACCAATTTCATTCTCTATTACTCTCACATAGGCCATAAAAATCTTACCAAGTTGTTGAGAAAAATTAATTCTAACATCTATATCATTAAAGGTAAAATATTGTTCCTATAAAAAGTCTGTCTCAATTTCTGAAATAAACAATATGGAAACTCAGTCTCAGCCTAAATAGATATTGTTTTGTTTATTTTTTTCACCACCAAAATGGTATTTTAGAAAATTCAGGTCAAAATAATGTGATTAAAAAGTGAAATGATGATTAAATTGTTTTTCTTCAGAAGTTATAATTGTTTTCATTTAAAAAAATGACAATTAACAATAGCTTCCTACATTCACAGGTGAATGATTTTTCTCCAGCTTATAAGTGACCCAAAATAAAAATAAATTATTTTCACAGTGCTATATTATTGTTTCTCTAGCTTCATATTTTTTGGTAATGGGGATCGAACTTGGGACCTTGCACTTGTGAGGCAGGCAGTGACATCATTGAGCTAAATCCCTGGTCTTCTAACTTCACCTTTTCTTAATTAAAAAATTAAATGGATTTTTAAATGTTTCAACAAAGAGTCTCATTGTCTTACATTTTTATTGGCATGATTCCTCATAGTAACATTATTTTTTCCTTTGACATTCTCAAATTGACAACCCCAATTGCTCAATTGTAGAAAGACAGAGGGCTAAAGAAATAATACTTTTGCAAAAGTCTAGAGCTCCTATACTTTCCTCTTAAAATCTGCGTTACAGAAAGTACATATGGGGGCCAGGAATCTAGCTCAGTGGTGCCGCCAGCTGCCTCTCAAGGGCAAGGTCCCGAGTTTGATCCCTGGTGTTGCAAAACAAGCAAAGAATCAAACAAAGTACATATGTAGGAACTCTTGAAAATATGTTTTTCCTGGGCCAGGGATTTAGCTCAGCAGTGCTGCCACCTGTCTTGCAAGTGCAGGATCCTGAGTTCAATCCCTGGTACCACAAAAAAAAAAAAAAAAAAAAAAAAAAAAAAAAAAAAAAAGAAAGAAAGAAAATATCTTTTTCCTAATTTAGCTATTAGAAAATTTCCTCCACATTTTCTATTACCAAAGAATTTAGTAACCAAGAAATCCCAAATATTTATAGTGAAGCCCTCTACCCTAGTATTTTAAGTTGGTCTGTGGATATTTTAAAATCTTTAGCTATGAAATCATTTCCACAAATGCTTTATTTTCTTCCTCAGTAGATGATAAACAGTTTACAAACAAGCCTATTTCAAATATTTCACTATTCTCTAAGACTTAAATAAATTTCTCAAATTAAACATCTTTCAAATTGAAAAGATGTTTTGAGGAACTTTTAGCTCAGTCAGACTCCAAATAGTATTTAAAAGAGAGAGAGAGAGAGAGAAACAAAAAAAGCCCACCATTGCCTATGTCATAATTTTGAAATTTGTCAATTACTGATCCTTTTTTAAAAAAGTACCACCAGAAGATTGGATTGTTAGTTCCAAGTTTTCGTTTTCCTGTGATACAATTATTCATGGAATTTTATCATTCTCTCCTATTATAAGGGAAATACATCCCTCTGCCTTATTGATAGCAGACCTGGCCTCTGACAAGCTCACTTTGCCCAGTGAAATGTTAACAGAGGCCCTAAAACTGCTTACACATCTTGGCTTGACTCTTCCATTTCTGCCTTGCATCCGGAGAGGAAAATTCTGCAACTGGCTGATGTTTCAAATGCAAATGTGAGAAATGTGGAGTGACTCTGGACCCAATACGAAGGTCTGGTTCAAGCTCAGCTATCGGTAGCCAAGCCCAGCAGAACCCTAGACAAATGTAGGTTGATAAGCAAAACAAAAATAAGTGTTTACTCTTGTAAACCCCAGAAGTTTAGAGTAGTATGATACAGTTAGAGGAGCAGTAACTGGCTCTTAAAGTGTCCCTTTCTCACCCCATTAGTTCTACTTCTGCTGAAAAGATTAAACGAGTTAATATATTTCAATCATTCATCAGGTGATGGCTGTTGTTATTCTGCTGAGTCCTACAAGAGGGTATAAACTATAATATAAAAGACATAAGACTCCAACTATCCAAAAATATGCTGTGCACTACTCCTAAGCAGCTTCACCCACTCAGACTTATAATATGATACAGCGTGTGGTACAGTTGACTTCAGAGGCAAATGATTTTCACTCAAGGAAAACTGGGGAGTCAGTGGGGTGGAGAAAAATCAGTCCAACCTCAACGGCCGAGAAGTAGATTTCTTAAAATCACTGGCAAGCACATTTTGTGGGGTGAATAGGAGGGTTCAAAGGTAGGGTACTAATATTACTCTCTTTAATTATGAATTCAGTTTCAACATCTACCTACAAAAACCGTGATTCATTTCTATTCCAGCTGTGCACAAAGATTTTATCTCTGTCGCTTTCTCAGAATTATTTTAGAAGAAAAAGTATTAGAAACAACATCAATGTATGAAATGGGGTTACTTAAATATATTTTGATAAATGGAATAGAATGAGGCTATGTAACTTATGCAGAAAATTATCACAAACTATGAAAAGATATCCATCATGCATGGCTTAAATGAAAAAAAAATTACAAAATAATATTGGCAGTTTGACCCCCATGTTTTTAAGCATAAGTATACTTCATAATGTGAAAAGGTAGTTGCATACGCTTAAGTGCAAATCAAAACTACGTTAAGAATCATTTCATTTATCATATTGTCAAAGACGCAAAGTTCAATAGCATTATGTGGTGAGGAGTTGAGGGAGAAGATATGCTCATCTGCTGCTCATAGGAGATGTAATACAACTTGTATGGACAGTAATTTGGCAATACTTTTTCTTTTTGCTACCAGGGATTGAACTCAGGACCTTGCGCCTGCAAGGCAGCAGCAGTGCCACTGAGCTAAATCCCTGGCCCAATTTGGCAATATTTACAAAGATTTTGTATATACAGTTTTTGACTAAGCAATCCATAGTCGACTTCCAGAAGTGTCAAGTTTCAGATTATAGCTTTTTCTGTTTTCTTTTGCTTTTGTGTTTTCCCTGATACCAGAGATTGAACTCAGGACCTTGCGCTTGCACAGCAGGAGCGGTGCCACTGAGATAATCCTCGGCTCCGGATTATAGCTTTCAGAATGGAGCATCATGTTGACTGATTTTGGGATATGCGGGATTTGGTAGAGCACACTTCCAGGTTTGTGGGGTACGCCATGTAGGCATGGCCTTGGGGTCTCCTGGTCCCTCACCCCTTCTCTCCGGCAGTGTTCCCCAGCTCTGCTGCCTGCTGCTAGGAACTCAGCAGTGTTGCCTTGTGCTCTCCCTCTGTCAGGTTTCTGCTGGGAGCCAGCCAGCCACGGACTGAACCTGCAGAAACCGTGTACCAAATTAAACCACTCCTCCTTTAAATCGTGTGTAACTGGTATTGTGTTCCAGCAACTGGAAAGCTGAGATTCCAGAAATGTATCCCAAGATATACTTTGTTATATACAAGTTAACATGATACAAACAGTCATGGGTTGAACACCAAACTTATGCTGAAGCCCTAACCCGTCGGTACCTCAGAACCTTATCTGGGTTTTTACACAGGTAGTCAACTATATCATTGATGTCTTTGTAGAAAGGGGAAATGTGGATGCAGAAACAGTCATAGAGAGAAGGGGGCTGGAAGAAACACAGGAAAAAAAGGATCATCTCTGAGCTAAGGACAGGGGCCTGGAATAGATCCTCACAATTCTCAGAAGGAACTGACCCAACTCAGCGGAAAATCTGCAGAGCACTAGACTGCTCTTGCGCTGTATGTAGATGTAGCATCCGGTGTGTTGAGTCAGAATCCAAACACTGCTCAGTTCCCATTATTCTCTCCCTGTAGTCTCTGAGATAAAATTCTTAGCTCTGTTTTAGAGGAGCGGTAACACTTAGCGCTCGGAACTGAGCTTCACTGAGAAGCGCTGAGGCAAAACCATGCCTCTACAACGCCTACCACCATCAAGAATGCAGAGATGTCTGGACAGTGGATACTCCTAGA